CAGGGAACAGGCGCGGGACTCATGGGATCAGGGCCCTTGTTTCTCCACCTCGCAGGCCTTAGCCGCTCTTAAGTTTCTTCCTGCCAGCTCGGCGCCTGGTGTCGACCAGTGGGAAACAGCTGATCTACGGCGCTTACCAGAACCAGGACTGAAGACCCTGACCGATTTGATCGATGATATCTGTGGGCTGCAACAGTACCCTGCTCAATGCTTAGTCACCCCGTGGCCCTGAAGCCCAAGACCGGGGTCAGCGACATACCCGTCACTCTTGCCAACGCGCCCTATCGGGTCACCATGAGGCTCGTCAAAGGCCAGATCTCATCTAGGGAAGAAGCTCGGCCTGGCTTCTGGGGCGCAGCCATCCAAGGTAGCGATTGTCTGCAGGCATCCCTGACCAGCGAGATGTTCGCTGAGATCGGCGGGGCACCGCAGGTCTTCATCGTCGCGGGAGTGCTCGACCTCGACAAGTTTTTCGGCGCCGTAGATGTCGAGAAGCTCTCCCAGCAGGCCCTGAAGTTAGGCTACCCAGTGGCCCTTCTGTCCCTGGGGGTCTTGGCCCGCGACGCCGCCGTGGCCCTCGCCGCGCCTGTCGGGGTCGGCGAGCCGCTTGCACCACTCATATCTACACTTCAAGGACGTGGACAGAGTGCGCCATGGACGTAGGCCCTACTCAATGAGATACTGGAGAGAGCCCATTATCAAATCCCCAGGCCCACCATCATATCCACGGTAGATGACATCAGAGTCCGTCTGGCCGGCAGCCCCGACATCTTGGAGGAGACCTTCCCCAGCTGCATCGCGGGCCTCTGTCAAGGACTCGCTGGACTAGGATGCCGTCTTTCAGAGAAGTCAGTCGTCTCGACCAACAACCCAGACATTGGCAAGGCAGTCGCGGGGGCACTCTTGGACCAGGGGTTCCACATCAAGCCCCTCCGCCACGCCGGGGACCTCGGGATGGGCGCCTCCGTGGGGCGCCGCTGGGCACTCCAAGTCCGCCGGAAATGCCGTGCCCTGGGGCTCTTCAGGGCTAGAAGCATCAGGGAGCTGGCCAGGGCCTCGACCAAGGCTCGGCCTCTCCTATTGCACGGGCGCGCAGCTTCATATTCTCTGGGGCACGCAAGGTCACGGGGCCTCGCCATCATAATGTTTATCTTCAGCGGCGCCAGATAAACGCCTGTGGGGTGTCGAAGTCAGGAGCCTGCCTCGCGACAGGACTCCACGCCCTCAAGGTAGAGCCCTCATGAGTCGAACCCGCCACCTTTCTCAGGACGAACCTTTTCCAGACTTGGTTCAGATTCATCAACCGTGAACTCGGACTCCTGGGAGGTATTCAGAGAGCTTGGACCCGACTCAGAGATGCATTTCGTTCGCAGAATCGTTGGCTCCGCGTGGAGTCGCGCTTGTCGGCGGCCGTCGCCGCGTTCTTCGACGCGGGCAGGGGGCCCACGTCTGCCCGGCAGTTGGCGGACCCCGCGGGGCAGGGTTTCAAGGTGGAGCCGTTCAGATCGGACCAGCAGCAGCTCTTCTTCTTCTTGGCGCAGTTCCCCATGCCCCAGCAGGACCGCAGCAATCGCCAGGAAGCAGAGGGGAGGGAGCTGGAAGTGGAGAAGCCCAACAGGGACCGGAGGGCCACAAAAGAGCAGCAACTCATCCGCCCCACCTCCCACCCCTCCGCCCTGTCCGCCGCTGCTTGTTCCAAGTGCTGGAACGAAGAGGAGGAGGAGGAGGAGGAGGGAGAGGAGGAGGAGGAGGAGGAGGAGGAGGAGGAGGAGGAGAAGGAGGAGGACGACGAGGAGGACGACGTGGGTGGCGTAACCGCCTGTTTCGCCTGTGGGGACCGGATTCGAGGCGTGGTAGTCGGGGCAGCGGACCGGCCCTACCACTTCGGCTGCTGGCAGGCCCAGCTCGCGTCGAGCACAACTTGGCCCTCCAGCGCGCCGGCGTACCTGTCCTGATGCGCCGCGCCCGGGTCCTGCGACTTCTCCCTGCTCCGCCGTGGCGCATTGTGCAGGCAGTTAACCTGCGCCCTCGGGGCTTCGTGTCCTCGGTCGCCGACTGGTCCTCCTGCTCTCTCTCCGCGCGCCCCTGGCCTGTTTTCTAGGCGTCCTTTTGCGGGCTCGACCTGTTCGTGACCTTCTTCGGCGCTGCCCGGCGGCTGGTGATGGATGAGCGCCTGTCCAAGGAGTTCGCGGAGGTGCACTTCCCTGCTCTCTGGCCCGAGCTCGGGCGGCCTTCTACGGTTTCGACTTGTTCGCGACCTTCTACGCCGCCTTTTGGGCGCGACCTGTGTGTGTCTTTTGTTTTGTTCCCTCTCTTCTCTCCCTCTCTCTATATATCTCTCCCTCTCTCCCTCTCTCTCTCTCCCTCTCTCTCTCTCTGTCTCTCTCTCTCTCTCTCCCTCTCTCTCTATGACTCTCTCTCTCTCTCTCTCTCTCTCTCTCTTTCTTCCTCTCTATCTCTCTCTTTCTTTCTCTGTCTATCTCTCTCTCTCTCTCTCTCTTTCTCTGTTTCTCTCTTTCTCTCTTTCTCTCTTTCCTCCTGCCCTGGCTCCACAGGCTCGCCGGCCCTGCTCCCCTGATGGCCGGCGGGGCCACCGCCGAGGTGCTGGTGCGGGCGGCTACGGCGCCATCTCGCCAGCTACCTGTGGCCCTCCCTCCTCCCCCTCCCCCTCTGCCTTCCGCCTCTGCGGCCCCGCGGTCCTGGGCGCGGCGCGGCCCCCGCCTGGCCCTGGGCTCCGCGGGCAACGGCATCGCCCTGGCGCAGCGCGGCTTCGGCCCGGTCCTGAGCGCTCGCCCCTGCAGGTCCGGATCCGTTCCGCCTCCTGCTCCAGTGCACCGGCACCCTGTCGGTCGTCACAGGCGGCATGTTTTTGGAGTGTCCTGACTGCCGCGCCTCAAGTCCCTGCGGTTCCTGTACCCTTGACCGGTGGCACCATTAACCACCGCGGCCCTGTGGCTCCCGCTCCTGCTACCTGTGCGATGGCACAACGCCGAGCTTCGTCTCAGCGTCGCTCTCCTCGCTCCCCCTGATCCCTGACGCAGCTTGGTTGCAAGGCGCGCCACCTCTCGCCGCCAACGCGAGGCTGGTGTAAAATGAAGGGCCGTAGACCTCAGCACCAACCGCAGCATGTTGTTTCGATCGGTATTTCGCCCCCGTTTTCAAGAAGGCGTTCCTTTGCAAGTTCGTCGACTTCGACGACGCCTGGTTCCGAGGCTTTGCCGCCTCCTGGCCTCGCTCTGAGGCTGCGCCCCCCTTCTTTTCCCCCTTCCCAGCGTACTACAAGCTCCGCGCGGCCCGCTTAGCTTCAACCGGAAGAGGTGCGCTCTCGATCCGCGAATCAAAAATTGCTCCAAGTGCTGGAGCGAGTCGCGGCGCTTCGAAGCGGGGCCCCAAGATCGAGCCGACTTTCGTACTCTGCGGCCAGCCGATCGCAAATGACCTCTGCGAGTTTTGGACCTGCCCCGAGTTCCCATCGCTAGGTCTTGAGGCCATCCAGAACACAGGAGTCCTTGTCCCCAGGCCGTCCAGGAACGCCCCCAGAATGCATGTTTCAGGGTCCGTGGGATTGTTCCTGCCAACTGGGCTTTCTGGAAGGATAGCAAGCGCTTCGTGTCACTAGACGACGACATCGACACATGAGGAGTCTTCCAGTGTCGCTAAAAGTACAGGTTCAGTCACATCCTCACCGGGGCCACCCACGAGATCGTATGGGGGGCGCACCATGGACACCCGCCTCTGGGCATGCGCTTGGGGAGCCGCCCTTTGGACCACCTCGAAGCAGTTTGCGGGATCACTTTTTTGGGGGGGTGCGAGGCCTCCAGTCAGTCCTTCTTGCTGAGTTAGCCGCTGTAGCTCGCCTTTTCTCAGCCACCGACAGACCCATGGTCGTCGTCGCGGACTGCCTTCATGTCATCCAAGGATTTTTGAAAAAAGGACCCAGAGCCCGACACTCACGGAACCCGCAGGCTTTGATGAAGTCTTATGCACATGCCTTCGCCCATGTTCCCGGCTCTTTTTCTGGATGGCCAAAAGCCACCCGACGGAGGAGGAGGCAACCAAGGAGCCGCCATGGGCGCTCTAGCAGGTCGATGAGATCGCCAGCTGCGCCGCCCGTCGCCGAAGAGTTACCCCCCCCGCTCGTGCGCCAGATTCAGGGGGGAGACAATCGGGCCGCTTCCATATGTGACCGTTTCGCCGCCATCCAGACCCAACACTGGGAGCACAGCGACCCACTAGGAGTGCACAGGCCTTCCAGCAGGCTCTCGCCACCACCTCTCTGCCTCCTCTCTGTTCTTGTTGGCCCCGATTTCAATATCGCCTGCTTCAGGTGCAAAAAGAAAGGCCGTGTTATCATTCGCAAGCCCACGTGGTTGAAACAACCCTGTCGGCCCAAGATTTTCGCAGTTCACCCGGCCCACCACCCCTTTTTCCAGTCCGCCAACGGGATCAGCTGGTGCAGTCGTTGTGGGGGTTGGTTGGTCGGTCCGGGCCCGTAGCAAATTGAAAGCCATTTGTGAGCCCCCCACCGAAGCAGGGAGGAAGACCATCCAGCGGTTGGCGCAAGGTCGTCTACCCCCAGGCTTTCAGGCCTGGCCCCAGCTCGAGGTGTTGCACCAGCTCGGAGGAGAAGGAGGACGGGGATCACGAGGAGGAGGAGGAGGAGGATTTGGGCGGGGATGGTGGAGGGTGCTTGCCTCCTCGACGCCCTCGCTGTGAGCCCAGTGGAAGCGAGGGAGCGCGAGGCCTCCAGCTGTCACCAGCATGGCCGCCCGCAGTCCTGTGTCCTGGGGATGAGCGGGATGGGAGGGCAAGCAGGGAAAAGCTTGGCCAGGATTTCGGGCCATAACTCGAGTGTCCGGGGGCCGCTTGGGACGATTCTTGCACCCCCAGAACTCACTCGGCGAGGCAAGGCATCCCGAGGTTGGAGTGCCGTCGAGAACCCACGGAAAAAGTTTGACAACGTTTTAACTTCGGGCCCGAAGCGTTGGCGCCCTCCAGAGGACATGGGCTTCGTCGAGGGCCTCATTGCTCACGGCGTCCCGGTCGCGCTCGCGCGCCTGCCGTGCGCTGCGAACGGCAGCGGCCTTCCGCTCGGCCTGGTCGCCCACAGCTGCCACCCCGGCAGCACAAGCGGGGGCGAGGATCTGGGGCAGTGTTCACCGAACGCCCGCCACTATTCGCAAAATGCCGATTTGCATTCGTCCTAAAAACACAGGCCTCGATGCAATGGGTCGAACATCCCTCGCGCGGATCTTGGCCATGTGCCTATTTTGCGAGTGGTGGAGCGCGCTTTTCTAGGTGAGGGGGGATGGGCTCAAGGGCTCAACCCATACATGCTCGCGTCGTGACAAAAATGAGAACGGGAGGTGTTATGCAGTTTTCGGTTAGTCGGGCCTTCACAGGGTCCCCAGACAGTCGAAACACTATGAGGATGAAAGCCCGACCCCAGGGAAAGGGTCGGGACTTCCGGGGGGGCTGCGTAGTGAAGAAACAAGAACGTCGCATGTCTGAGAAAGTCTAGGCTCTCGTGCGTTTTAGTTGGTGATCGTTGGTTTTCCAGCTTCGGGATGCTCTCCAGCAGCAGCTCCTGGCCCGGAGCGTTCCAGGGGGGTCCTGATCGTCGCAAACTGCCGCCAGCGTCCCAAAATATTACCCGAAAGCCATTCGGCGTCGAAGAGGGGTGGGGACCAGGGTCAGGGGCACCGACAGGGGGGGGGGATGTGCTGGACGGGGTGGGTGCTTTGGACGCATCGATCCTCCATCGCCCACTCATCGCCGATAGAAACCCGACAGCCCTCCCCGCCCAGGCACGCTCGAACTCGCCATGGGGGGCCTGTCGCCGATCTGTCGGCGGTGCGTTGCCGATTCCAGGTCGACGCTTCCCCTCCCGAGCCGGTCCCCGTCCCTCCTAACTAACGTCCTCGCTCGCGAGGACCTCGCAAGCCGCGGCCGCTGCGGGGTGCCTGCGGGCATGCCGCACAGTCTCGCGCGGCTGATGCCGATGGTCGCAAGGGATGACGAGGGCAGGGGCTGAAGAGGAAGAAACAGAAAGAATACCTTTCGGAGGTGCTCGTGGCTTTCGTTGTGTGACTGGCGCTGGACAGCCCTCCCGGGCGCGCGGAGCGCGCCAGGGACCGCGCTGGTCTCGTGGGTCGAGGTGGATGGAGCGAATGCGGCCAAGCGACGATGAAAATTCAAGGGGCCCTGGGACACACAAATACATACACACAAATAACAGGATTCCCCATATTGTTCCATATTTTCTGGATTTTTGTATTCCCCGCCACTTCCCATATTTTCCCATATTTTCTAGGGCGTCGACGATTCATTGTGTCTGTGTGTTTGTTTCCCTCCTGAGAAATGCCCGGGGGGTCGCAGCGCTCCACTGGGAAGTGGACGATGCGACTGATTTCCAGCTCGTTGTCGTCGCCGTCAAGGCCACCAGGCCGCAGCCGAGACGCGTAAAAGGAGAGGGAGACGAAGGGAAGGAGCCGAGGGGAAGGGAAGGAGACGAAGGGGGAAGGAGACGAAGGAGACGAAGGGAAGGAAAAGGAGAGGCGGGGAAGGAGACGTCCCGGGACCGCAGCCGAGGCAAAGGGGAAGGGGACGAAGGGAAGGAAAAGGACAAGTTCTCGCCGGGCTAAGGTAAACATAGCTTGGACTTGTGTGTGTTGCCATAAACCTAACAACTCGGAGGTCCGCGCGGATTTCTCGGATCGGCGCTGGGGCCATCTCGCGCCGCCTCCGGCGCGCTCCGCACGCCAGGGAGGGGGGGGGGGTCAAGCGCGGATCCAAGAAATCCGCGCGGACCTCAGAGGTTTTTTTTGTGCATGCCATGTTTTGGTTCCCTGGCTCTCTGAGCGGCTCGAGTCGGCCACCCGTTGGTCCTGGCATCGCTCGGACGTGTGCATTTTTTCTCGGCGAGACCAATCGAGGAGCATCCTTGATCATTTGGCGAAAAAAACCACGCACGAAACAGAAAAAAACACAGGGAATGGACGTCCGAGCGATGGCCAGTGGTCCACGTCGAAGCCCACGCTGCGGCGCCTCCCGTCGCTGCGCTTCGCGGAGGCAGCGGCAGCACCCCCCCCATTGCCTCCCGGAGGGCGGGCACCGTCGGCGACTTGCCCGTGGCCCGAAGAGCGGGCTCGGCCGCAGGCCGCAGAAATGCCCACGGGCTCTTCTCGCAGAGCCCCGTGCAGCGTCACAGGCGGCTGATACAGTCGGGGCCCTGAAGAAGGAACCCTTTTCGTTGGGGAGGGGCTCCGTGTTCCTTAAGTGTTTCGCAGCTTGCCTCGGATTTTCCTTGGTCCTCGATACGAAATCGGAATGTAACTTACGGAAAAAGGGGCCTCGTTCCGTATTTAGGGTTCCTTAGGTCAACGCCTCGATTGTAGAGTTGAGGGAAACCCTTACAACACAGCCAGAAGCTGCACGTGTCCCGCCATCGTACCTGGTGTTGCGTCGCCAGGTGCACGGCAATGTCGTGGCTGTGCCGTGGCCCTATTGGGTCCGTGTTCGTCCGCAGCATCACTCTATCCCTTTCTATGCGTGCGCTTGTTCTGTGTACTAACCTATTGCTCGCCACACTTTTCTGTTCTGCGACCAGCGGAGCCCTCAGCAAGAAGTCAACGAAGCAATGCAACGTGGATTGCGACGACGACGAGGGCTTGAGTCACTGCGTGATGATGCATTTGGGACGATTTTTGGCCATAGCTTTGGTAAGCTCGGTGGTCGCGGGTGTACCGCTCGCTTTGATGAGTTCTATGCACTCCAGGAAATTTGTTCGAGTGGCCTACGGGGGCAGCCCCGATTGGCAAAGACAACTCCGCAGGTGGTGGCGTGCAGATATTGTGACATGGGTGATTGGTCTCGCCTATTTTAGGAGGGAAAACACACAGAAACAATTAATCCTCGATTCCCCAGAAAATATGGGAAAATATGGGATGTGGGGGGGAAGACAGAAACCCAGAAAATATGGAACTATATGTGGAATCTGTTTATTTGTGTGTATTTATTTGTGTGTCCTGGGGCCCCTTCACTATTGCCTATTTGCCGTAAATTTCATGTGCTTGTTGTTCGCGAGTGTGGTCGAGGGAGGTCAGGCCGACTGGATGATGAGCGCTGGCATCAGCCTTGTCAAGGATTTTGTTGCCATTCCCGCGGCCGCTGGTTTTGCCATCACATTGCTCGCGATGATACTTCTTGCATGCATGGCATGTGTTCACGGGGTGAAGAAGGAGCACCTCACGAAGACGGGCAGCATCGCAGACGTCCAGGAGGCGTTCAATACCAGCAGCGACAAGCAAGTAATCAAGCTGGCGCCCTCAGAGCTCCCAGACCACACGATCATGCATCGGCGAGGGCAACGGAATAATCCAAACTGGCAGGGACGACGATTCGTCGGGGACGGCGGTGGCGGCGAGTAGGAGTGCGATGATTTCGAGATACTTGTGAGTCACGATGTTGCCCTCGTCGATCTGAGCAGCGTGCCGCAGCCGTTGGCCGAAGTGGCGGTTCGGAGGAGAGCACCGGTGAGCTGACGGAGGGCCGCGTTTCATGTACCAGTGAGTCATTGTCCGCCGCCCTATGGAGCTCCACCGAATGTCCCAGTGCCACCGCCCGCATGCGTCACCCACACCCATTTCGGCACACCCCTCACACGTTTCGTGGCCCCATGGGGAGCTCAACCGACGGCGCCAGTGGCTGCGTTCGCATGCGTCACCCACACCCATTTTGGGACACCCCTCACACGCTTCGTGGCCCCATAGGGAGCTCCACCGAAGGCCCTAGTGCCACCGCCCGCATGCGTTACCCACACCCATTTCGGCACACCCCTCACACGTTTCGTGGCCCCATGCTCCAACGAAGGCGCCAGTGCCACCGCCCGCATGCGTCACCCACACCCATCTCGGCACAGCCCTCACACGTTTCGTGGCCCCATATGGAGCTCCACCGAAGGCGCCAGTGGCTGCGTTCGCATGCGCCCACCGCACCCATGTCGGCACACCCATCACACGCTTCGCGGCCCCATAGGGAGCTCCACCGACGGCGCCAGTGGCTGCGTTCGCATGCGCCCACCGCACCCATCTCGGCACACCCATCACACGCTTCGCGACCCCATAGGGTGCTCCACCGACGGCTCCAGTGGCTGCGTTCGCATGCGCCCACCGCACCCATCTCGGCACACCCATCACACGCTTCGCGGCCCCATAGGGAGATCCACCGACGGCGCCAGTGGCTGCGTTCGAGGGCGCCCACCGCACCCATCTCGGCACACCCATCACACCCTTCGCGACCCCATAGGGTGCTCCACCGACGGCGCCAGTGGCTGCGTTCGCATGCGCCCACCGCACCCATTTCGGCACTCCCCTCACACGTTTCGCTGCCCCATATGGAGCTCCACCGACGGCGCCAGTGGCTGCGTTCGCATGCGCCCACCGCACCCATCTCGGCACACATCTCACACGTTTCGTGGCCCCACAGGGTGCTCCACCGACGGCGCCAGTGGCTGCGTTCGCATGCGCCCACCGCACCCATTTCGGCACACCTCTCACACGTTTCGCGGCCTCATATGGAGCTCCACCGACGGCGCCAGTGGCTGCGTTCGCATGCGCCCACCGCACCCATTTCGGCACACATCTCACACGTTTCGTGGCCCCATAGGGAGCTCCACCGACGGCCCCTGTGGCTGCTTTCGCATGCACCCACCGGGCAAATCTTGGCTCACCCCTCACACGTTTCGTGGCCCCATGGGGAGCGCCTCCGAATGCGGTGCATACATCGACATGGCGGTGTCCACATGCGTCCGCGTTTCGTGGCCGCACCTCTCGCACGCTTCGTGGCTGAAATAGGGAGCTCCACCGAAAGCGGTACCCACAATGCAGCACTCGCAGCTGCATATGTTTGGGTCCTTCGCCAGGTTGATTTCATGTTCTCCCCCCTGCTCTATCATCCGTCTCTTCCCTTCTTAGTTCGCCCCCCCCTCCTCGCAGGTCAGGAGGATTCAGCACATGTGGCCGGGTCTGCTGCACGACTTCGGCCCGCGCTCGACGGTCCTTGGCGCCCCGCTGGGGAAGCGCCTCGCCACAGGCAGGCAGGGGAGCCAAGACAGGGGCATTGGGAGCTGCGCCAGAGGCGAGGGGAGGGGAGGGGGGGAGGGGGGGGGGGGGCAGGCGACTGGAGAAGGAGGAGGAGGAAGAGGAGCAGAAGGAGGAGATAGAAGGAGGAGGAGAAGGAGGAGGGCGAGGAGAGGACTGGGTAGATGAGGATGGGTGGGAGGGGGAGAAGTCGGTCAACGTGCAAAAGAGCCACTATTTTAGCAGAGGGCTTGCGGCCGCTTGCGCCACCCTGGATGCAGAACATCTTGGGCAGAAGAGGTGAGAAGGGGGGACGAGGCCAAAGGACAGTGGCTGCTTGAATGCGATGGCGACAATCAAAGTTTCGTCGGCCGATCCCGCCACCGCGCCAGCGCACCCTTCCTGTGGCCTTGCATGGAGTTTAGGGCCTCTCGGGGCCCTTCTGGGGGCCTTTCAATACCCTACCGTCGGAAGCTGATAGAGCAGAAACTGGAATGATTAATCGCCAGCGAAGCTATGCGATTCGTTCGGTTATTATGAATCACCAAAGGACCAGGCGGAGCCTGGGCTGGTTCTGTAACTAATAAACACAACCCTTCCTATAAGTCGGAGGGCCTACTCGGGGGCGTCTTGGAGGCTCCTGGAGATCTTCTGGAGTTACGGGGCAGAGGGGACCACGCTGCAGGCCAGCAGCGACCTTGGCGGTGCCGCGCTTCGGGGCGCTCCCCTGTTGGTGTCGGAGGCCTCGCGTGCCCCGCCGGTCTCTCTGGGGGTCTCTTGGGTGCTTCCGGGGCCGTCTCCGGCGCCCGTCCCGACCGAAACAGCGAGAAGGTCAAGCAGTGGCGAGGCGCCCTGGCTCGCCTATAGCCCTACAGTCGGGGCGCTGAAGAAGGAACCCTTTTCGTTGGGGAGGGGCTCGGTGTTCCTTGAATGTTTCACAGTTTGCCTCGGGGTTTCCTGAGTTTTTCCATGGGAAATCGAGGTTGAACTTATGGGAAGCAGGGGCCTCGTTCCTTATTTAGGGTTCCTTAGGTCAACGCCCCGACTGTACCAAACAATGTTCCAAGAACCTTGTGTGGTCTCCACGAACTGTTCTCAGAACATTCCTGGCGGAGTCTTGTTTTATTTTTATCGCATTGGGCTCATGTTCTAAGAGCATGGTTTTTGTGATTCGAGCATGTTTGGGTTCCAAGAACAGTTCGTGGTAAGACTATAGGAATGCCGGGACGGTCAGTCCCTGCTCAAGAATGCGAAAGTCGCACGAGCACCGAAACGATCCTGACGATCTTGGGCCAGGCATGTCCGGAGCAATTCGAAGTCGACAGACGCAACCGAATACGTTTGAAGCTCGCATCGACGCACCATCCTGCCCATGGTAGGATTGTGTCTCCTGCGCCCAAGCAGTTAAGTCTGATTCTACAGCTAAAAATTGCGCAGCGGACCGAACAGTTGCCTTCTCTTCCTCGGCGGAAGACGGCGGAAGTAAAACAAAGGTGGCTCCGCCAGCAGACGGCTGGCGGAAGCCTGCCGATGTAAACGCTCGTTCTTGCGAGAGATGATAATCTTAGAGGGTCCAAGATGTATGGAGCCGAGTCGTCCACAGGCTCGACGACCTTATTTGCTGCTGGCAGCTCTGCCATACTCTACAGCATTAGTCTGTCGCGCCCGCGGGCAAGTCCGCCTGATGTCCTCTGTGTGCGTTCTGCGCGTTGGCCCTGTCCGTACGTTTGGAGACATAGAGCGAACACTCTGGGGGGAAATGGAGGAGGCATCACCAGCACGCCGCTCAACCAATGAGGGGCATACCGTCTCCCTCCTCGCCCTGTCGCCTTCCTCCTCATCCCCCCGCCTGGTTCTCTCCTTCTTTCCCCCTCTTCTCTTCCAAGCTTTTCCTCCCCATCGTCCTCCCCCCCCTCTCCTCCTCCTCCTCCTCCTCCTCCTCCTCCTCCTCCTCTCCTCCTCCTCCCTCCTCCTCCTCCTCCTCCTCCTCCTCCTCCTCCTCCTCCTGCTGCGCCTCCTCCCCCCTCTCCTCCTCCTCCTCCTCCTCCTCCCTCCTCCTCCTCCTCCTCCTCCTCCTCCTCCTCCTCCCTCCTCCTCCTCCTCCTCCTCCTCCTCCTCCTCCTCCTCCTCGTCCTCCTCCTCCTCCTCCTCCTCCCCTCCTCCTCCTCCTCCTCCTCCTCCTCCTCCTCCTCCTCCTCCTCCTCCTCGCCTCCTCCCTCCTCCTCCTCCTCCTCCCTCCTCCTCCTCCTCCTCCTCCTGCCCCTCCTCCCTCCTCCTCCTCCTTCCTCCCCCCTTTCCTCCTCCTCCTGCTGCCTTCCCGCCCCCCTCTCCTCCTCCTCCCACTCCCCTGCCCTCATCGAGGGCTGCCTCCCGCCCGCGCCGCTCGTCTCCCCCCCTGACGCCTCGGCGCCGCGCCACCCCCCCCGCCTCGCCTCCGCCAGCAGCAAGACCCCGCCAGGCGTGCCGCGGGGGCCCCTGGCCCCCAGGCGGCCGCAGGCGCCGCGGGCCCTGGCCCTGCAGCGCCGGAGGTAAGGGGGGCGCCGCCGCCGCGCGGGCCCCGCCTCCCCGGCAGCGCGGCGGCCTGCCTGGATAAGAGACGCCCCCGCGAGCCGCACAGAGCCTCCTCTTGCGCCTCCTCGTCCTCCTCCTCCTCCTCCTCCTCCTCCTCCTCCTTCTCCTCCTCCTCCTCCTCCTCCTCCCTCCTCCTCCTCCTCCTCTCTCTCCTCCTCCTCCTCCTCCTCCTCCTCCTCCCTCCTCCGTCGTCCTCCTCCTCCTCCTCCCTCTCTTCGTCGTCCTCCCTCCCTCCTCCTCCTCCTCCTCCTCCTCCTCATCCTCCTCCTCCTCCCCTCCTCCTCCTCCTCCTCCTCCTCCTCCCTCTCTTTCGTTGTCCTCGTCCTCGTCGTCCTCCTCCTTCTCCTCCTCCTCCTCCTCCTCCTCCCTCCTCCTCCTCCTCCTCCTCCTCCTCCTCCTCCCGTGCCGCCCGCCGGCCCCGGGGCACCCGCTGTGGCGCGGCCCGCGGCAGAAAGCGCCGCGGTCGCCCGCGCCGCGGGCGTGCTGCTCGCTGCGGCAGCCCAGCAGGACGACGACGACGACGACGACGACGACGACGACGACGACGACGACGACGACGACGACGGCGAGCGGCTCACCCTGACATCCCCGCGTCGTGAACATAATCACGGCGGGCCCCGGGAGCGCAAACAGAAGTGCTCCGGAAGTCCGAATCCGGGGATGGGTTCCAGACCTTGGGAGAGCCGCGTTGTGGCAAAATCACGATGTCGGAGGGCAGTGTGCGATGAGAGCAGACCATGCACACAAACACGCGCACACACAAACGATTCCGTCAGCAGCCGCGTGAACAGCACCGCGGCGGTCACAGCAGGCGAAGCGTCGGAGCCGAGCAAGATAGAGGAACGACGGACCAATCGTTCACACACCTGGGGTCCCTGAGCGGCCGCAGGGCCAAGCGCGCGCACCAGGGACTCCTGGGGTCCCCGAGCAACCACAGGAGAGCCGAGTTACATTCGGACTGAGGGTACCCTGGGGTTCTTCGTGCCAAATGAAGTTACTGTGCATCCTGGGGAGGGTACCCTTGGATGTCTGTTTGTTTTGGCCGACGGAGAAGTAGTTGGCCCCAGAGGTTTCTGGCGTCGCCCAGGCGGAGACGGTCCCGAGGCTGGGCCTGGCCCTGGGTCGCCTCCACGGAGGAAGGGTGTTCTGCTGAGGTTCGGTCCAGCCCCAAAAGACGCCGATACAGTCGATCTTGACTAGTAGGTTCAAGTCGGGCGTGTCCCCCTACAGAGGAATTGTCGACGAAAAATAAGAATGACCCCCAAAATATTCCAAGATGGTCAAAGAATATTCAAATGATTCCGGAGAAATAGGGCAAGAGGGCTATTGGGCTATAGGGTTATTGGGCTGCACGCCCGGGCGCCCGGGCACCCCCTGGGCACCCGGGCGTGCAGCGAAAATCGGCGGCCAACCTCACCCCCGGGCACCCTCGGGCATCCGGGCACTTGGGCGTGCAGCGAAAATCGCCGGCCACGCTAACCTAACCATATGAATCCGCTAGGACCCCTGCAGAGGCAAGATCTGATTGTGGAAAATTGTCTCCAGACTATTTTTCCCAACCATCCTGTGGTGTTGGGTCCTCGTTTTGAAGAGACAGTGCCCCGCGTCTCCTTCCTTCCTTCCTCCCGCTGCCCCCTCCTCCCCCCTCCTCCCTCCTCCCTCTCATCATCATCATCATTATCATCATCATCATCATCATCATCATCATCATCATCATCATCATCATTTTCATCATCATCATCATCATCATCATCATCATCATCATCATCATCATCATCATCATCATCATCGTCGTCATCGTCATCGCCATCATCATCGTCATCGTCATCGTCATCATCATCAGCACCATCATGGTCGTCATCATCACCATCGTCGTCATCATCACTATCATCGTCGTCATCATCACCGTCTTCACCATTATCGTCATAATCCTCACGACCATCATCATCACCATCATCGTCATCATCATCATCGTCAACATCATCATCATCATCATCATCAGCATCATCATCATCATCATCATCATCATCATCATCATCATCGCTGTCATCATAATCATCGCCATCATCGCTGTCATCATCCCTCATACGTTTCGTGGCCCCATAGGGAGCTCCACCGAAGGCCCCAGTGCCACCGCCCGCATGCGTCACCTACACCCAATTCGGCACACCCCTCACACGTTTCGTGGCCCCATAGGGAGTTCCACCGAAGGCCCCAGTGCCACCGCCCGCTGCGTCACCTACGCCCAATCGGCACACCCCTCACACGTGTCGTGGCCCCATAGGAGCTCCACCGAAGGCCCCAGTGCCACCGCCCGCATGCGTCACCTACACCCAATTCGGCACACCCCTCACACGTTTCGTGGCCCCATAGGGAGCTCCACCGAAGGCCCCAGTGCCGCCGCCCGCATGCGTCACCTACACCCAATTCGGCACACCCCTCACACGTTTCGTGGCCCCATAGGGAGCTCCACCGAAGGCCCCAGTGCCGCGCCCGCATGCGTCACCACACCCAATTCGGCACACCCCTCACACGTTTCGTGGCCCCATAGGGAGCTCCCGAAGGCCCCAAGCACCGGGACGCCCCCCATGCGTCACCCACACCCAATTTGGCACACCCATCATACGTTTCGTGGCCCCATAGGGAGCTCCACCGAAGGTCCCAGTGGGTGTGCCCGCATGCGTCACCTACACCCAATTCGGCACACCCCTAACACGTTTCGTGGCCCCATAGGGAGCTCCACCGAATGCCCCAGTGCCACCGTCCACATGCGTCACCCCTGCCCACTTTGGCACACCCCTCAGACGCTTCGTGGCCCCATAGCGAGCTCCACCGAAGGCCCCAGCGCCACCATCCACATGCGTCACCCCCATCCACTTCGGCACACCCCTCACACGTTTCGTGGCCCCATAGGGAGCTCCACCGAAGGCCCCAGTGCCACCGTCCACATGCGTCACCCCCACCCACTCCGGCACACCCCGCACACGTTTCGTGGCCCAACAGGGAGCTCCACCGAAAGCCCCAGTGCCACCGTCCACATGCGTCACCCCCACCCAATTCGGCACACCCCTCACACGTTTCGTGGCCCCATAGGGAGCTCCACCGAAGGTCCCAGTGCCACCGCCCGCATGCGTCACCCCCACCCACTCCGGCACACCCCGCACACGTTTCGTGGCCCAACAGGGAGCTCCACCGAAAGCCCCAGTGCCACCGTCCACATGCGTCACCCCCACCCAATTCGGCACACCCCTCACACGTTTCGTGGCCCCATAGGGAGCTCCACCGAAGGTCCCAGTGGGTGTGCCCGCATGCGTCCCGCACGCCCATTTCGGCACACCCCTCAGACGCTTCGTGGCCCCATAGGGGGCTCCACCGAAGATCCCAGTGGGTGTGCCCGCATGCGTCCCGCACACCCATGTCGGCACACCCCTCAGACGCTTCGTGGCCCCATAGGGAGCTCCACCGAAGGTCCCAGTGGGTGTGCCCGCATGCGTCCCGCACACCCATTTCGGCACACCCCTCACACGTTGCTGGCCTTCGGGGGACCAAAGGGAGGGACATGCCGAGGGTGAGGAGGGAGGGAAAGGGAGGGGAAGGGAGGGAGGGGGTTGAGGGAGAGGGGGGAAGGAAGAGGACTGAAGAAGAGGGTCTCGGAGAACCGAGGGAGTGACGATGATGATGATGATGATGATGATGATGATGATGATGATGATGATGACGCTGATGATGCTGATGATGCTGATGATGCTGATGATGATGATGATGGTGATGGTGATGGTGGTGATGATGATGACGACGACGATGATATTGATGGCGATGATGATGATGATGATGATGATGATGCTGATGATGCTGATGATGCTGATGATGCTGATGATGATGATGATGATGATGATGCTGATGCTGATGCTGCTGATGGTGATGGTGGTGGGGGTGATGATTATGATGGTGATGAAGATGAAGATGATGATGATGATGACGATGATGATGATGATGCTGATGGTGATGATGATGATGCTAATGATGATGACGACGATGATGATGATGCTGATGCTGATGATGAGGATGAGGATGAGGATGAGGATCAGGATGAGGATGACGATGATGGTGATGATGCTGATGCTGAGGATGATGATGATGATGACGATGACGATGACGATGATGATGATGATGATTATGATTATGATGATGATGATGATGATGATGCTGATGATGCTGATGATGCTGATGATGCTGATGATGATGATTATGATGATTATGATGATGATGATGATGCTGATGCTGATGATGATGAGGATGAGGATGAGGATGAGGATGAGGATGAGGATGAGGATGAGGATGAGGACGAGGATGAGGATGAGGATGAGGATGAGGATGAGGATGATGATGATGCTGATGCTGATGCTGATGCTGATGATGATGCTGATGCTGATGCTGATGCTGATGATGATGATGATGATCATGATCATGATCATGATCATGATCATGATCATGATCATGATCATGATGACGAAGACGACGACGACGACGAAGATGACGATGCCGACGATACCGAGAGGAGGAGGAGGATGAGGGAGAAGGGGAGAGGAGGGAGCAGGGAGCAGGGAGGAGGAGGCAGGAGGAGGAGGAGGCTCGCGTGCTGCCAGCTCGGCTGGATTCCTCGGCTGACGGCGCAGAAAACTGGCCAGCTTGGACCCGGTAGAAATCCGATGATCGATTTCCAGCGGGTGCTGGCCCAGGGTGGCGCGAAGGGGGTGGTCTTCCAAGAAGCCAAGGGGGGTTCTTGGAGGGGCTCGGAGGAACGACGGAGTGACGATGATGATGATGATGATGATGATGATGATGATGATGATGATAATGATGATGATGACGACGATGACGATGACGATGACGATGACGATGATGATGATGATGATGATGATGATGATGAGGATGAGGATGATGACGACGACGACGAAGAT